ACTGCTAAACCTCTATTTCCTATTGTTCCTAGGATATTTGATAGTATTTGCTATGCTCGTGATGTTCATCCCCAAGTAACTAAATTATATCCCAAATCCTTCAAATGTATTTTTCTGGGTTACTCTTGTCTACAAAAGGGTATCGAAGCTAGTGCCCAAATCTTGACAAGTATCTTATGTCAGCTGATGTTACCTGTCGAGAACATATTCCTTTCTTTCCCACATCTTATACTTCTTTCAATAAGGGGAGGAAGATGATCTGTTGGTTTATCATGTCACTTACCAGTCAATCAATGCTGCTTCTACACCTATTGCTCTCACACCACCACTACCTATTCACCAGATGTATTCCAAATGACGAAATTCTTCTAATGCATGTTTGGCAACTGACCCTTCTTTGGCATCGGATCCAGTGTCCGGTGATCTTGATCTACCTATCGCTCTTTGCGAAGGTAAATGCCAGTATACTTATCGTATTTCATCCTTTGTTTCTTATGATCACTTGTCCTCTTCTTCATGCTCTTTTGTTGCTTCCATAGAATCTGTGTCTCTTCCAAAAATTTTTCATGAAGCCTTATCCCATAATGGTTGGCGTGATGCTATGATCGATGAGGTTGATGCTTTAGATGCTAATGGTACTTGGGATTTAGTAAATTTGCTTGCAGGAAAAAAGGGCTATAGGATGCAAGTGGGTGTTTGCAATTAAAGTCAATCCTGATGGATCAGTGACTAGACTTAAAGCTTGTCTTATCGCTAAAAGCTATGCCCAAACTTATGGGGTGGATTACTTTGACAATTTATCTCGTAGCTAAATTAACGTTGATTTGCTTGAGGTTGATGCTTTAGATGCTAATGGTACTTGGGATTTAGTAAATTTGCTTGCAGGAAAAAAGGGCTATAGGATGCAAGTGGGTGTTTGCAATTAAAGTCAATCCTGATGGATCAGTGACTAGACTTAAAGCTTGTCTTATCGCTAAAAGCTATGCCCAAACTTATGGGGTGGATTACTTTGACAATTTATCTCGTAGCTAAATTAACGTTGATTTGCTGGTTCATTTCTATTGCAGCTATACATAATTAGCATCTACATCAATTAGACATCAAAAATGCTTTCTTACATGGTAATCTCCAGGAGGAGGTCTATATAGAGCAACCACCTGGGTTTGTTGCGCAGGGAGAGTATGGGAAAGTGTGTCATCTTCGAAGGTCCTTATATTGTTTGAAACAAAGTCTATGTGTGTAGTTTGGAAAATTTAGTTAGGCAATGGAAAAGTTTGGAATGCAAAAGAGCAAGTTGCCTCCAAGGGTATAGGGTGGAAGGCTACTTGTACACTTGCACTTACCCAAGAGTCAAATCCATATTTCAGGATTCGAACCCTTGACGCAGCAGCCTCAAGCAAAGCTGGATTTCTCCACCCTCCCCTTTTACCACTTGGAGATGTGCCCTGGGGGCATGTATGTTAATGATATTGTTATTACTGTCGGTAATACTAGAGAAATTTCATCTCTGAAGTCCTTATTCACACTCAATTTCACATGGAAGACTTAGGGGTGTTAAAAGTATTTCTTAAGAGTTGAGGTGACAAGAAGTAAGAAAGGCATCTTCTTATCTCAAAGAAAATATGTGCTTGATTTATTAAATGAGACAGGAAAGTTGGGAGTTAAGCTAAACAGTGCTCCAATGCTTCCTAATCTGCAACTTACCAAAGATTGACTTATTTGAAGATCTTGAGAAGTATGGAAGACTGGTTGGGAAATTAAACTATTTTACGGTAACCCATCCTGGTAATGTATATTCTGTCAATATTGCAAGTCAATTCACGTCCTTCCCAACAGTTCACCATTGTGCATCTTTAGAACAGTCCCGTGTTATCTAAAAGGAGGTCTGATTTTGGGATACTGTATAGAAATCATGGACATACTCACATCGGATGCTTCTCAAATGTAGATTGGGCAAGTTCCAAGATTGACTGAAGATTCACTACTGGCTACTGTGTTTTTGTTGGAGGAAATTAGGTCTCGTAGAAAAGTAAGAAGTAAAATGTTATGTCTTGTTCTAGCGCAAATTTAGGATGTAGAACTATGGCACAATCTATATGTGAGATAATGTGGATATATCAGTTTTTAACAGAAGTTGATCTTAAGGTTTTAATATCAACAAAGTTGTGGTGTGATAATCAAGTTGTTCTTCATACCGCTTCTAATCTTGTATTTCATTAATGAACTAAGTATGTTGAGATTGACTGCCATTTCATTCGTGAAAAGTTACAGCAAAATTTAATCTCTATAGGATATGTGAAAACTGGAGAACAACTATGAGATATTTTCACAAAGGCTCTAAATGGAATCCAGATTGATTATAATTATAACAAGTTTGGCATGATTAATATCTATGTTCCAACCTAAGGGGAGTGTTATAGAATGTACAACCTGTGGGACCTTAATTACAGGAATCCCTAATTAGGATCCTTCCTAATGTAGAATTCCTAATGTGTATATATATGTATCTTCTCCTATGAATAATATAACAATTTTTATTTTTCTCTCCCAACTACACTAGGGTTATTAAAATCATTTTACTTTTATATTCTCTCTGATGTGGTGTTGGAAGCTGGTCGAGCCAGAAGGTGAAAAGTGGCCAAAAGTAGTGTAGTTCCATGGCTCTCATATCTCTGTGTTCTTCAACCATAATCTTCCAAAATATTTGTTAAAACTTTAATCTTGAAGCTTTTTCCAGCATGAGAAATTATTTGCATACAAAATTTTTTGTATAAATTTATTTTTCAAAATAGTCTTATTGTCTCATCTGTCAGTAGTACTTGCTAATGTGATATGTTGATCTCTAGTTCTCCACAATTACACATTTCTGAACTTTGCAGCATTTTCCATTGAATGCACATACAATTTAGGGATAACAAATTTTTATTTTTTTTTCATAAACTTTTGAGAATAGTGGCTGCAGTTAAAAATAGTTGATTTCCGTACTTGTACGTTCATAAACAATTATCTACGCATTCCATATTTCGACTCTTTAGTCAAGCAGCTATCATTCAGTAGCGTCTCTTTATCCTTCCTTGTATGCCAGTTATTTTGGTTGTTTGATGTGTTATATTGAAAGTTTGTCTTCAACTTGTTAATATGGAAAATATTAACTCATATTGTAGTACAAATGAATTGGAATTATATATTTTCTTTGAAGAGCCATGAAGTTTTTAGGGAAAATTGCAGCAGAGGCCCCAAACCTTTAAAACATTAGCAGATTTTTCCCAAATCTTTAATTTGTTGCAACCGTCACCTCAAACCTTTTGAAACATTGCGGCGAAAGCCCTTTTGAACGGTTTTCATCCAAATGTCTGTTAGTTGACTAAAAATTTTGACTTTGACTATATTTTTAATATTTTTGAAAGGGTAAAATAGTAACTTCCATTTGTTACATTAAAATAAGTGACAAATTAAATTAGAAAAAATAGAAATTAAAAAAAAAAAGAAGCCAGTCGTTGTCTTCTTCCTCCCACCCCACCACACCCTAAACCCAAACCTAAAATCCATTACGGCACTGCCGCCTCCACCTCCACCTCCGTCTCCGTCTCCGTCTCTGCCTCTACCTCTCCTCAGATGAGTTATTGATCAACGAAACTTCTTCGAGAAATTCACCAATCGTTTTAGGAATATAAGGTTTTGTCGCTGATTGTCTACAAGTCAAACTCAATTCCGATGGTCCCATTTCTTGCCATATCTTTAATTTCCAATTAATCAAATATCCCAGTTTTCTCATGAACCTAGAATCATAGCTAAAGGAGAAACAATGAAGATCTATATTGCCAATGTGAATGCAATATATAGAATAAAAATCAATGGTTTTTTCAGAGAAAGAAAAGTGAAGATTCTGTTAAGCTACGCTGAGTTTTGACAGAGCTGAGCCGATGATATCTATGCAAATATGAAGTCTTTTCCGGGTCGTCGCATATGAGGGGAGGTGGAGGTGGAGGTGGAGGTGGTGGTAATTGATTTTGGGTTTGGGTTTGGGTTGGGGGTGGGAGGAAGAAGACGACGACTGGTTTCCTTTTTTTTTTTTATTTCTATTTTTCTTCTCTAATTTAATTTTTCACTTATTTTAATGTAATAAATGAAAGTTACTATTTTACCCTTACAAAAATATTAAAAATATGGTAAAAGTCAAAATTCTTAGTCAACTAACAAACATTTGGATGAAAACCGTCCAAAAGGACCTCCACCGCAACGTTTCGAAAGGTTTGGATTGACGGTTGCAACAAATTTAAGGTTGGGAAAAATCTGCTAATGTTTTAAAGGTTTGGGACCTCTATTGCAATTTTCCCAAGTTTTTGTGGTTGCTTTTATTCTGGCCCACTTTTGTGATAATGAATATCTTGAATTTCAAGAGAAACTTTTATGCCATTGATGCCTTGCATTGGATACAGCTGATTAAATGTAGGATTAATCAAAGTTCATGAATGGTTAATATTTTCTGGACTTTCTTTAGTGTACGTGGAAACATTAAATTCAGATGGGAGCCTAAATTTCTACAACTCCCTGCTTTCATTTCACAATATTTTTAGTGCAACGTCTGATGGTGCTTGGGAAGTTGCATACACGTGATTTTTCAAGCTGGGGCTATTTTCTAAATTTTCTGGCTGGCACTTGTCTAATTATGTTTGACTAAGCTTAAAAGGTTTACTTGCAAGTTAATTTATTATAATCAAATAAGTACACATCAAAATAAATAATTTATTTACTAGTTGAAGTTGGAAAGTAGTTAGTGTGATAGTTAAGAGTTTGAAAGATAAAACTATTTCTTAGTTCAAATGGAGAAGCAAGTTATCTGAATATGTTTCTTGATAAAAAGTTTTGTGTATTTTAAGCTTGTCACAAATGCTAGATTGGATATTTTTGCTCGATATATGCATTAACCTTGAGTGTATTTAGCCTTCAAATGATTTGGAGCTCCTCAGTTTTAAGTGTTTGCTTTCTCTATTATGTAGGTCACATGTTGCGTGAATTGCATTGTAGCTTCCCAGTGGAAGTTTGTTTGAAGAACCTGGACCAAAATGGAGGTGTCCTTGGAAGGACTATAGTAAACAGTCTTTTGAAGTTGCTATCAGATATCAAGGCCACAAAATTTGGTTACTTTCTTGCAGTAACGAAATTGAAGAGCATTGGAAATGGACATCGAGTGGAGTCCTGTCTCCATTTCCAAGTAAAGTTCTGCTGCCGAACCTTCATACCTGTGTGTGGGGAGGTAATGATTGGGATCGTGAAGAATATAACTGTGCATGGGGTTTATCTGAAATCTGGACCTATGAACTTGGTTTACTTGTCGGCTCGATTGATGCCAAATTACCACTATGTTTCTGTGGAACATCCAATATTTTTAAAGGACGACTTGTCTAAGATTGAGGTTAATGTGGTGATCCGGTTCAGGGTTTTTGCTGTTAGATGGGTCGAGGATGTAAGGAAGGAATTCCATGTTCTGGCTACAATAAATGGTGAGAGCCTTGGACCAGTTTCATCGACACAAGAATTAGATGGACTAGATTTGTAAATTCCATGTGGCCAACAAAATTTTCACCTCAAAATGCATTCACCACGAATGCGGGGAATTCTTTTTAGCTAGAGTTTCTGTTCAATATTTGGCTCATAGTTTTGGTGTTGATAGAACATTTGTACTGCATAGTAAGAATGATGGATAAATCTTTGTTTGCGCTAGTTTACTACCCACATTTTTTTTCTTTTTGTTTTTTTTGGGTTTTTCCCAAACAAGCATAGCTAAGAGCATGCTAGGCTATGTTCAAAAGAATTATATATAAATAAACTCCTTTATTGATAAAACCCTGCTTTTCAGAAATTGACTTGTGCTTTCCTAAGTAGGAATAGCAACAGGGTGGGTTCGGGGCAAGAAGGATCCCTTCACCCCTGTGCCATCGGGCAATTTTCCGCCCTATTACTAATTTAAGGCGGAGTGGGCACTTGCTCCTTTTATGTACTCGTTTAATTTTATTTTTATTTTTTAAAATTCATTTTATTGCCACAATTCATTAAAATGAGACAATAATATAGTTGTTAAAATTTTTAATTAATTTATTTATTTTTAAAAGTTAAATTATAAAGTTTTTACTGTTTAATATATTATTTAGATAATTTAACTGTCATCTTCTATTAGATATTAATGAAATTTTTTTATTTGAAGTATTAAATTCTTTAAAAAAATAAATGGGGTAGGACTGGGTAGGGTGGGGCCTCTGTTATCCATACTCGTTTTGCGGCAAAATCACTCATCTCATACCTGATTCGAATACCTTATTAAGAGGGTAATTTTCGCCTCAAATGTGGGCATGGGGTTGGATTTTTTTGCTAGCCCTACAAGAAAGTAACTAATAGCCTAGCAAAACATATTCTTACGTTTCAAGTGAAACTCAAAAGAAAAATGGTTTCTCAAATTTATTAAAGGTTTTTGTTGCTCGATGAAACTGACCTTCAACTATCATCCTTTGTCGAGCATCCATAGTGCATGTAATAATATATTAATGCTTCCACGACCTAGGAATCTTCTCATTATAATCAGGAGTTGCATTTTGCAAATAATTCTTTTCTGCAGAAGTTTATCATCTTAGATTTTCATCATCTTTTTTCATTTTTTTCTTTTTACATTGTATACCTGGTATGATTTATTGAGTTGATCTACACCGGCCTAAATTGCACTTCCATCATCCATATCGCTAGGGCTGGGCAAATCTCCCGAACCGAACCGACCGACCGAACCGAACCCGAATAGAACCGAACCGAACCCGACGGTTCTTCTCAAATTAAATACCCGAACGGGTATCTGAATTGAGAACCGACGGGTACGACTCGGTTCTAGACCTAGAACCGAAGAACCGAATAAGATCCGAATCTTTCTAATTTTTTTTATATTGAGTAAATCAAATTATTTTAATTTTTTCTAAACAAATTAACGATTTCTAAATCCAAAATTTTGGCCCAATTACCTATTTTATTGTTTCATTTCTTAGCCAAGCAAGATCAAATCCACTAAATAACCCTAAACACCAACACCAAAGTGCATAACATTGTCTCGACTCTCGCAGTCTCGCTAATATTCCAAAACCTATACAATTATCGGTCGATACTGTGACCTTCAATCAAAACTGTGACCTTTGCCAATCGAAACTTTGATCGTAGCGATCATTTGAATAAGGTAGTTTACTAGTCTCTGACATTCCAAAATTATTGAATGTATCATTAGTTGTATTTATATAATATTGTTATAAATGTTAAAAAAATTAATTATAGTACAGAACCGAACCGAACCGAACCGAATTGAACCGAACCCGAACGGTTCCATAATTCTATTTGGACCCAACGGTTCCATTTACTAGATACCCGAAAAGTTCGGTTCGGTTTGGTTCGGTTCGTAGAACCGAACCGAATCGACCCGCGCCCACCCCTACATATCGCCTTGCCTTCGAAGGAGGCCTAACTCACGTGCTAACTACTCCAGGCATTAATCTAAAGAGAACCGAACCGAATCGACCCGCGCCCACCCCTACATATCGCCTTGCCTTCGAAGGAGGCCTAACTCACGTGCTAACTACTCCAGGCATTAATCTCCCCACTCTGTCGATGTCTCTAATTTTATGTTGGTATTGTTCAAATTAACAATGAAGATTGATTTTGGAAATGATGGAAGTGGTTAACTATGAGAGAAATAATTGAAAACAAAATGAGAACAAAAAATGATGAAGGCCGGAAAATGGTCTGGGCGGGGAAATCTGATCGTTAGCTATTTGAATTTTGGTGTCGTTTTGAAGTGTTTCAAACCATTTTTGCTTGGTTTTTGCACATTTTCGTGCATGGATATTGCAATTCTATATATAGGGATGGTTTTCATGTCGGAAAATATATCACAAAACATCAAATTGATTCCATTACATCCAAATTCTAAGATAAAACCAAGTGTCTTTTTTTTTAAATAAGTTTTGTTTGCTTGATTCAAACTTCAATTAAGGTTTGTTTACTCCTATAAACTATTTGTCATAAAGCCTTCAAGCACTTACCCAGGTGGTGGCAAATATCGTTTGAGGACAATGGTT